TGAGTGTGTTTATAACGGAACGGGCCGTTACTCAGTGTCTTTATAACGGAACGGACCGTTACTGAGTGTCTTTATAACGGAACGGACCGTTACTGAGTGTGTTTATAACGGAACGGGCCGTTACTCAGTGTCTTTATAACGGAACGGACCGTTACTGAGTGTGTTTTATAACGGAACGGGCCGTTACTGAGTGTGTTTATAACGGAACGGGCCGTTACTGAGTGTGTTTATAACGGAACGGGCCGTTACTCAGTGTCTTTATAACGGAACGGACCGTTACTGAGTGTCTTTATAACGGAACGGACCGTTACTGAGTGTGTTTATAACGGAACGGGCCGTTACTCAGTGTCTTTATAACGGAACGGACCGTTACTGAGTGTGTTTATAACGGAACGGGCCGTTACTGAGTGTGTTTATAACGGAACGGGCCGTTACTGAGTGTGTTTATAACGGAACGGGCCGTTACTCAGTGTCTTTATAACGGAACGGGCCGTTACTCAGTGTCTTTATAACGGAACGGGCCGTTACTCAGTGTCTTTATAACGGAACGGGCCGTCACTGAGCGTCTTTATAACGGAACGGACCGTCACTGAGCGTGTTTATAACAGAACGGACCGTCACTGAGCGTGTTTATAACAGAACGGGCCGTCACTGAGCGTGTTTATAACAGAACGGACCGTCACTGAGCGTGTTTATAACAGAACGGGCCGTCACTGAGCGTGTTTATAACAGAACGGGCCGTCACTGAGAGTGTTTATAACAGAACGGGCCGTCACTGAGCGTCTTTATAACGGAACGGGCCGTCACTGAGCGTCTTTATAACGGAACGGGCCGTCACTGAGCGTCTTTATAACGGAACGGGCCGTCACTGAGCGTGTTTATAACGGAACGGGCCGTCACTGAGCGTCTTTATAACGGAACGGGCCGTCACTGAGCGTGTTTATAACGGAACGGGCCGTCACTGAGCGTCTTTATAACGGAACGGGCCGTCACTGAGCGTGTTTATAACGGAACGGGCCGTCACTGAGCGTCTTTATAACGGAACGGGCCGTCACTGAGCGTGTTTATAACGGAACGGGCCGTCACTGAGCGTGTTTATAACAGAACGGGCCGTTACTGAGCGTGTTTATAACAGAACGGGCCGTTACTGAGTGTGTTTATAACAGAACGGGCCGTTACTGAGTGTGTTTATAACAGAATAGGCCGTTACTGAGTGTGTTTATAACAGAACGGGCCGTTACTGAGTGTGTTTATAACAGAACAGGCCGTTCTGTTTTGAGGTGTTTAGTTGCCTCTGATTGGTCAGACTCATCTATAGGGGGCTCCGTATTATAAGGTTACAAAACCCCAAATGTAAGGAGTAATTAAAACGGCAGCCATTGCGATTTTACTGTAAAACAATAACTCTCTGTCTCAGTCATGGTGACCAATATTATCTGCAAAGCCTTCATTCTCAAAAAACAGCAGCTCATCTGATCAGCTATTTAAAGACAGTCTAAACGCTCTGATCCAGGATCAGCTCTATTATAACACATTCATAATGAAATTAAACACTCTGCTCTTGCTCTGAGCTCAAAAAAGACAAACATCATCACCTTTGTTCAGGTGTTACCTGAAACCGGGGGCCGCCCCTCCCACCCCAAAGCATACCCACACAAAGCTTGAGTAATTACCACATGACTGTCAACGCCTGATCCTTATTACAACAACTCCACTCAGTCAACACCATCCGAGTGGAGACGACACACCCTCAGTCCAAACGCAGCTCAGCCGTCTCGTTATTATACCTCTTTAAACAACCCGTATCCTCCATTATACATCTTTACACCATAAAAGGCCCACATCCTCCGTTTTACACCTTTACACACCTTAAACCACCCACATCCTCCGTTTTACACCTTTACACACCTTAAACCACCCACATCCTCCGTTTTACACCTTTACACACCTTAAACCACCCACATCCTCCGTTTTACACCTTTACACACCTTAAACCACCCACATCCCCCGCTTTACACCTTTACATACCTTAAAGGGCCCACGTCCTCCGTTTTACACCTTAAACCGCCCACATCCTCCGTTTTACACCTTTACACACCTTAAACCACCCACATCCTCCGTTTTACACCTTTACAGCTACTGTAGACTGAATGGTGGAGCTAAACTGCTGTAGCTGAATGGTGGAGCTAAACTGCTGTAGACTGGATGGTGGGGCTAAACTGCTGTAGACTGAATGGTGGAGCTAAACTGCTGTAGCTGAATGGTGGAGCTAAACTGCTGTAGACTGAATGGTGGAGCTAAACTGCTGTAGACTGAATGGTGGGGCTAAACTGCTGTAGACTGAATGGTGGAGCTAAACTGCTGTAGACTGAATGGTGGGGCTAAACTGCTGTAGACTCAATGGTGGAGCTAAACTGCTGTAGACTGAATGGTGGAGCTAAACTGCTGTAGCTGAATGGTGGAGCTAAACTGCTGTAGCTGAATGGTGGGGCTAAACTGCTGTAGACTGAATGGTGGAGCTAAACTGCTGTAGCTGAATGGTGGGAGCTAAACTGCTGTAGCTGAATGGTGGGGCTAAACTGCTGTAGCTGAATGGTGGAGCTAAACTGCTGTAGCTGAATGGTGGAGCTAAACTGCTGTAGCTGAATGGTGGGGCTAAACTGCTGTAGCTGAATGGTGGAGCTAAACTGCTGTAGGCTTACTTAGCCATGCCTCCATGTTACCAGGCTAATTGGTGGGGTGCAAGTTTCCATTACTTGTTAGCTACATTAGCCTTGTAGCTGCAGTGCTAAGTCTAAAGAAGTGAACTGCAGACCTCAGACATGTCTTGACTGATTAACTACATTTACGGTGGGCGGGACTGGAGGAAGTCTTAGCCTACAGCTCACCATCCATCATGCACACCTGCTGTCATCTCCTGCTTCAACTCTCATTAGAGAGCGATTTGACCTGCTGCCCCGACGATGGTTTTAAAGCGTCCTCTCGCTCTCGCGCTGCTGTAAACTCCTCTGCAGGCTGTTCCTGCTGTGTTTGAACAGCTCATAATTGTGTTTGAGCTGTGCAGGATGACACCGCTACTGCAAATATTTACAGTCATTATCGGAAAGCTCACATGCCGAAGGATCAACACTGCAGAGCTGAAGATAAACACACGGGCCGAGAGAGAACACTCAGAGCACGGAAACAAAACCCACAATTCAAATGTGGATCGCTCCCACTGGTCCTCATACAGTGGGTGGAAACAAGTATTACTACTTAATAAACTTGCAGTGCATTTACTTATTCACACGTACACACGTTGGCCCTTATTCATCAAAGCTGACTGTCCTCAATAACGCGAGTGATTCATTCGTCTGAGGTGGAAAGAGTGGAGATTTAGGAGCAGTCAGCTTCAGTGCGTGAAATCAAGCGCCAGCCCGTCAGCGCCTCATTTACATATCATATACATCATTTACATGAAGCACATCCAGATGTTTCAGTAGAGAGCCAATAAAACGGCAGCGTTCAGCGGCTCGTGAGACAACAGCTGTGCTGGTAGGTGGAGTTTGAGGTTGAGAGGTGAGTGCACTGCTCCCCCTACTGACCAAACATTGTAGTGTTAAAATTATGACCACTGGAGAGGATGAAATACAGAACAAACAAAATGTCTCAGTGTTTTTATGACAGTAGAATGACGTGATCTTCATAAAATAACACTAAACGCTGAATTACTGCAGTGTGAGATGTTTTGTGTTGTTTATTTTGTGGGCGGAGTCAGTAGTGTAAAACAAAAGCACAGGTTAATATGGTCTTTAAAATATGTCTCAACATGTCTTTACATGAAACGCTGAGCAGTTGTAGCCGTTGTTCCTATCGATGCGCACGTAACATTAGTAGATCCACTTTTGTACTGGTGCAGAACTGATTTGTATCATTATTTCCTGTTTTTATTCTATTTTTGATAAGAATTGATATTATTGACATTATAGATAATGTTGATAAAGAGCAAATCAAAAGTCAGGTTGTTTAAGTATTACATTTAAATTCACACACATATCAGACGTTAGTTTGATCGCACAGATACGCCAAAGATGAAACTGATTATTTTACGGAGAGATATGATTTGATGGAAAAGGCACATTATATGAAGTGGACACGCACATGAAGTATAAAAAATCCAAAAACAAAAGCTTCCTCTCACTGTATTTGTGCTCAAAAAACAAAACAAGGTCAGACGATCACTTTCAGAACAAAATCTGCGTCTACACCGAGGGAACGAACCCAGCTTCAGGGCAAAGGGATCATTTGTACAACGCTGGAGTTCCATGAGGCCTAATGATACGTAATGTCCTGTGTGAGTGTGTGAGTGTGTGAGTGAGTGTGTGTGTGTGCGTGTGTGTGTGCGCATATGTGTGTGTGTGTGTGTGTGTGTGTGTGAGTGTGTGTGTGTGAGTGTGAGTGTGTGTGTGAGCGTGAGTGTGTGTGAGTGTGTGGTGTGTGTGAGTGTGTGTGTGAGTGTGTGTGAGTGTGTGAGTGTGTGGTGTGTGTGTGGAGTGTGTGTGTGTGTGTGTGTGTGTGAGTGTGTGTGTGAGTGTGTGCGTGTGTGAGTGTGAGTGTGTGTGAGTGTGTGTGTGTGTGAGTGTGAGTGTGTGTGTGTGAGCGTGAGTGTGTGTGAGTGTGTGAGTGTGTGTGTGTGAGTGTGTGTGTGAGTGTGTGTGAGTGTGTGAGTGTGTGTGTGTGTGTGTGTGAGTGTGAGTGTGTGTGTGTGAGTGTGTGTGAGTGTGTGTGTGTGTGAGTGTGTGCGTGTGTGAGTGTGAGTGTGTGTGAGTGTGTGTGTGAGTGTGTGTGTGTGTGTGTGTGAGTGTGAGTGAGTGTGAGTGTGTGAGTGTGTGTGTGCCTGTGTGTGTGTGTGTAGATGGGTGGGTATATAATGGAGAGACTGTGTGTGTGGTGCTGAATAAGTGCCGGTCAGTGCTGTCGTCGGTCAGCTGCTCCTGACAGACACTCCGTCCATCACCCACCTTCAGCGTTGTGCAGCTGCAGTGCGAGGCGCTGGCGGGCGCTGGCCTCCTCCTGCAGCCTCTCCTGGAGCTCCTCCTGCCTCCTCAGTAACTCCGCAATCTCCTCACTGTGCCGGAACTTCTCCCTCATCAGCTCCGTCTGAGTCACCCGAGCATGCTCCAGCTAGAGAGAGAGACACAGAGAGAGAGACAGACAGAGAGAGAGAGAGACAGACAGACAGTACCATATTAATGACCATTAAAGATTGCGAAGTGAAAAGACTTAACTGGGAACCACAGCAGACCAGCTCCAACTATATCATCAACATCTTCATCATCACCATCAGCTTCATCTAAACACCATCACCAGCAACAAGTGTCACCATCCTCATCATCACCATCCAAACACCATCATCATCTTCATCACCACCATTATCAGCATCACCTCCATCACCATCTAAACACCATCGCCAGCAAAGGCAACCACCATCACCAGCATCATCACCACAATCACCAGCAACATTATCACCATCGTCATCACCACCATCAGCATCATTATCACCATGACCAGCAACAGCAACACTCACCATTCTCATCACTACGATCATCTAGACACCAGCAACAGCAACATTTTCACCGTCATATCATCACCATCATCAGCCTCATCTAAACACCATCACCAGCAACAGCAGCTTCAGCAACATCAATCACATTTACCACCATCAATATCATCTACCACAGCAACATTACCACCACCACCCTTCACCAACATTATCACAATCACCATCCTCAACATCAGCATCACAACAATCACCATCACCAACATTGTGAACATTGTCTTTATCACTATCATCACCACCACCAACAGAAACATCAATATCACCACCATCACTGTCATCACCACCACCACCACCTTTAACTTCATCACCACCACCACCACCTTTAACTTCATCACCACCATCATCTTTAACTTCATCACCACCACCATCACCTTTAACTTCATCACCACCACCATCACCTTTAACTTCATCACCACCACCACCACCTTTAACTTCATCACCACCACCATCATCTTTAACTTCATCACCACCACCATCATCTTTAACTTCATCACCACCACCATCATCTTTAACTTCATCACCATCATCATCATCTTTAACTTCATCACCACCACCATCATCTTTAACTTCATCACCACCACCATCATCTTTAACTTCATCACCACCACCATCACCTTTAACTTCATCACCATCATCATCTTTAACTTCATCACCATCATCATCTTTAACTTCATCACCACCATCATCTTTAACTTCATCACCACCATCATCTTTAACTTCATCACCACCATCATCTTTAACTTCATTAGCATTGACCTCATCACCATAATTATCATCCTCAGCATCTTCAACATCACAATCACCACCACCACCAGAAACATCAATGTCACCACCATCACTGTCATCACCACTGTCAACTTCATGACCACCACCTCATCATCATCATCACCGACACTATCAGCAGCACCACCATCATCATCATCATCACCGACACTATCAGCAGCACCACCTTCATCATCACACAGCACTGTTAATGCTCCAGTATGTTTACTGTTCTATGAAGTTCTCAGGTCATTGGTGGACCAGTAAGAGCTCCAGCAGTAAACCTGCTCGTTACTGCTGGCTGTGGAAACTTTTCACGGATCAGAATAAACAGGTGATCCATGTTTATTCTGAAAGTAATACACAAATATATGAGGTGTATTCAGAGAGTGTCCCACACCACTGCTGAGCGCGGCACGGTCTTCATATGGTCAGGCCAGTAGAGCTCACTGCAGTGAACTCAGAGCACCTGTCCATCAGGGTCAGCAAGTCAAGCTGAGTTTACCTCCCTGATCCACTCACAGCAGTGTCCACTCAGCGATACGGGGGTCAGGAGAAGCTGCACCGAGACAGGTTTAAGGAACAAAACAGAGCAGAGTGGACACAGTTCCCGAGAGGAGGGGGCAGGGGGGTCAGCTGTTTCTACGGGACAACAGCTGTAAAACTCATCAGATCACAGATACAGTCTAAACCTGAACCCCATCAGAGGACAAACACACCAGGTCTGATCATAAACTACTGCCCACTGCACTGCTGCTGAACGAATGGACAGATGGATGGATGAATGAGGTGAAGCCTCTGTCACTGTAGTCTACATGCTGGTCATGCGTCTGAGCCCAGAAAGCAGCTTCTCTTGTGTTTGGAGTTTCAGGGAGCTCTCTGTGTTTCAGACAGTAGAGCTGGGCGATATGGCAAAAATATAATATTGTGATACTTCTAGTAATTTTTACAAAACACGATATGTCACAATATTTATTATTTCAGACGTCTGATCAGCTGAAACAGAGAAAAAAGAGCCAGCAGAGCTACATTATAAAAACTGTGAACACAGTGATTTTTATTCAGTATGTGTCACTAAATCCAGTAAAACGGACTAATTTTACTCTCTCTATAATGAAACATGCAGTTGGTCAGTGTCTACAAGCGCTAATGATAAACACGATATGCTCAGAAAAGCATATTCTACTGTACTGTGACATAATTCATCACAATAACAATATATACTGTCACATTGCCCAGCCATACTTCACTCTGACATTCATTTTAAATACATTTCTGTTCATTCAGTTCAATTCCAACTCCAAACCATTCAGCTCAATTCTATTCTGTTATTCAACTTTACTCCATTCCAACTCATTCAACTCAATTGTATTCTATTGTATTAAACTTTATTCAAGTCAATTCAGTTCCATTAATGTTGGTCATTTCCCACCTATTTAGCTCAATTCCAACCCACTGACCTCAATTTCATTTCATTCCATTCAACTTAATACCAAGCCATTCTACTCATCTGCATTAATCAATCCTGCCTATTTTATTCTATTCCAACCCAAGCATTTCAACTGCGAACCATTCAGTTCAATTCCAACCCATCCAGCTTAATTCAACCCCAAACCCATTAAACTTAATTCCATTCCATTGCATTCCATTCAACTTAGTTTCATTTTGGCCATTTCCAACCCATTCAGCTGAATTCCAATCAACTGAACTCAATTTCTACACGTTCCATTCAGGTCAATTGAATTAACTTTAATCAGTGCAACCAATTTTAGTCCATTTTAACCCAGTCAGTTAAACTTCATTCAATTCAGTTAAGTTACATTCTATTCAACTCTAGTCCACTACATTCAAATACATTCCACCCCATTCAGGTCAACTCCACCCCATTCAGGTCAATTCCACCCCATTCAGGTCAATTCCACCGCATCTCATTCAACTCTGTTCCTCTACACTCAAACACATTTAACTCAATTCAATTCTGTTACACTCAATTCCACTCCGTTCAGTCCCACTGCATTCCCCTGAGCCCAGCTGAGGGCGAGTGCAGTGTGCGGGCAGTGCCTGCGTCTCCAGGTGATAATCAGCGTCCGAGGCTGAAGGTCTCTATTAAGCTCTGGGATCAGCACTGCAGCCCTTTGACCGGCTGAGTTTACTCAGAGCTCAGATCCTCCACAGCAGGTTCACCTCTCACACACACTGATTCTGCTCTACAGGACCTCCATTACAGGATTACAGTCCTGCTGTAAAACTTCCACCAGCTCACAGCCACGTGGTGCAGTCTTCACACCGCTAGCAGACTGTATCTGCTGTAGCAAAGGTCAGCCTGCTGGGCCGTCGCTGCCGGGAAGCGTTCAGCAGGTCAACCAGCAGCACTCAGAACACATCACTAAAACATCTTAACAGCTCAAAACGAAAATACAGCACCAGCAGAAAACACTTAGAGTCAGGTACTTACATACGGAGACAGAGTGACGTCTTTAAAAGGCTGGATTTTCTACTGTTAACTCTTAATTAAACGCTTTTACTGAGCTATTATTCCAGCTCATATTATGAATAACCAGCTCATTCACTCTGAGTGGAAGAGGAAAACTCACGGCTGATGAGGTCAGTGTGAGTGAACACGTCAGAGAGCAGTCGCTCTGGGAGAGAAAGCTCATCTGTGTTTACACAGACCACCTGTCAGTTTGCTGTAGACACACCCCCAAAGCCCCCAAGCACCGCCCCAACTTAGGCCTTACCAAAAAACCTAGAGAACATGGGGATCTAAAGCTGTCCAGAAGCCACATTTTCACATAAATCACCTTCACAGAGTGTATGTTCCATACCTGCAACTATCAATGCTTGCAGGCTAGCTAGCTAACTCAGAATTAGTTCCAGTAGATCTGATTAGTAAGAAACAACCTACAAGACGCTTAGCATAAACAGCTCCATCACATGGCCAGAAGAAACGCTGATAGATAAATCACCTTCATACACTGTACATTAGTTAACCACAGCTAATGATGATCACAAGCTAGCTAACTCAAGTGGCTTCTGTTGGTTAAATGAGTTATAGCTGATGAAACATTCAGCCCTTCATTTCTACACAGGGAGCAGCTCCTCCTCAACAGAGGCCTCCATGTTGCACCACCATGTTTCTACAGTAGCCCAGAGTGGACAATCCAAACGCTGACTCTAGAGGGCGCCTTTTGGGCACTTGAATTTGGTGGCACTGTAGCTTCGGTTGGAAGACGTAGAAAGTAGAAGAATCAGTGGAGCTGCCGGTGCTGCTGACCATGTTTTGTTGTGAGAAGTTTGAGGACCCAGATTTTGACAGAAGGAGGATCAGACTTATTATTCAGCAGAAGAAACAGTGAGAGAGGGTGGATCATCACCATCAAAGAAGAGAAAACATGAAGAAGTGAAACAAAATCAGGACAGACGACGACAGAAAACCTGACGGCCACTGTAGGTTCTACTACACGCTTGGACAGGGAGGGGTGAGGGAGGGGGGTTCAGCTGGGTGCAGTCTGCAACCTAAATCTTACATAATGCAGCTTTTAAGTAAGTTGAAGCTTATAAGGAAAGATTAGATCTTTTAGGAAGGATCTAAATACGTTCATATTAAAATGTAAAGTCCTACTTTTTCTGCATATATGGATTTAAACTGCTCTATTACTGCCTGTTTATTTTCATAAACACTTTGATTCATGCCATTTTACCTTCCTTTATCACGTGTCTGTAAGGCAACCTGAGCTTCTACCTGTCTGTAACTGCTTTAGAAATAGACTTTACTATTATTACTATTACTGTGTTTATTTTA